TTTGGCAGCTTGACTGACCCAGTTTTGAACCTCGTTTCTCTCTATTCTGATGTCGTATCAACAAATGGTTTGATGGTCTGGAAACTAGATTCAACAAACTCTAAATTTTATGTTTTAATTATCCTCAAATTCCTTATGGATTTGGAGAAAACTTGCATGTAAGTTGGCTTAGTAACCTGCCTGCTTTTGCCTTAATACTCTAGTGACGTTGTGGCAGGCCTATTTTGGACGTTCATAACTTTTCACTCTGATGTCGTATTGATGTACGGTCTGAAGTAATGGAAACTACATACATAGGCCTTCGATTTCATATATAATTTATCCCCAAAAGGCTCTATATGCTAGGAGAAAATCTGGTCGCAAAGTGATCTAGTTATATGCCGTATCTTAACCGAAATTGTGGCAACTCAAGCCAACTTTTCTAATACGACATGTTTGGGCTTATATACATAACATATAATTAAAGTACAATAAATATGGCATGCAAAACAATTTTCTAAACACGTCAAGTCCTTCTAAATCATACTTTTCACATCACACGCAGAATAAATAAAGTCGGAAAAAAAAACTCGGGGTGTAATAAAAGTGATTATACAAAACTTCAAAAAAAGGTTGGAAGCGGTTAAAGGTAAATGTTTTGAGGAACTGCCCGGACATTTTTGGGCATATTGAACGACGGCCAAATCGAGCACGAGGGAAAATCCCTTTTCCCTTGTGTACGAAGCAGAAGCCTTAATTTTGGTGGAAGTAGGAGATCCTACCTTGAGGTATTTCCAAGAAAATGAAGAATCCAACAACGAAGAAATGTTAGTCAACTTGGAGCTACTCGATGAGTGCAGGGACTTGGCACATATAAAAATGGCAACCCAAAAGCAGAGAATGGAACGATATTATAATCAAAGAACCAACCTCTGTTATTTCAAAGTAGGAGACTTGGTCCTAAGAAAAGTAACTTAAAACACCCGGAAGCTCAACGAAGGAAACCTAGGTCCAACATGGGAAGGTTCCTACCAGATTTCAACCGTCACTGGGAAAGGTTCGCACGAATTGGAGAATCAAGATGGAGAAAAGTTGTCTAGTAATTGGAACGTGGTGCACCTCAAAAAATATTATTTATGAATATCACCTGTATTGAAAGTATATGCTGCACTTTTTTTTTTCATTCGTCTAGTTTCTCTCCTAATAGAGTATTTCTGGCAAGGTTTTTAACGAGGAAGTAACGGAAAATATACTACTAAGAAAGCTTCAACAACAACAATAAGACCTTCTAATAGCAAGGCACACAAGCGAAGAACCACACGGACGGTTAGTTAATCTTTCACTTGATAGCAAAATTCCTACTGGAAAGTTAAGTTTGCTATCGAACAAAGTTTACTCGACCGTTCGCAAGTGCAAACCACTAAAGCATCATTAGATAGTCTTTTGTTCGATAGCATAAATTTCTAAGGGGAAGTGAAGTTTGTTACCGAGTTAAAAATTATCTAGCAATTCATTAGTGGGGTCCTCTAAGGTGTAAAACTTCTGATGTTTCAATTTGTACTCTTCGCATTCGAACACGGGGGGATGATATGAGGATATGGCAACAATAACTACCACGTAGACCGGAAACGAAAATCGGAAACATAGTCGTATCATTGGGACCAAGGACTATGTAGCCAGCCCGTAGAAACAAGTTGTACAAATTAGCCACAAGTAATGGTAATTTCTTTTAGCATAACAAATGCCTACGTAATTTTTGAAAATGGAAGGAATAAAATGAAGTCCTTGATTTCTATCTTGTCTCTTATCTGAACGATGAATTGACTTTATCATTTGAAAGTTAAACATGTACTTCAAATGCTAGTACCGTAATGAACATGAGACTTTCTTTTCAAGAGAACTGTAAATATAAGAGGGTCATCTCTTATAAAAATTCCACATTAAAGGTTGATTTGGAAGAACTTATGCCCGCAATCAAAATGCCTTCGGAGAAAATACACCCGAAGCCTTGCACAAAAAGACGCAAAAAGAAAACTTGCGCAAATACTTACGAAAACTCTCACGGTAAAGGGTTGATTTTGGAAGAACTTATGCCCAGAATAAAAATACTTTCGGGAAAAAATACACCCAAAGCCTTACACACAAACAGTAAAACTTGCGTAACACGCTTAAGAAAAAAAAAGAATTCAAAGGTTAAAACTTGCATAAATATTCAAACGAAAGAACATAGAAAGACTCACACAATACTTGAGCAAAAGATATTTTTATTTACAATAAACGTGCCAAAACGGTACAGATACAAAAGTCGAAAAAAGAAAGAAAAAGTTAAACTGTTGTATCTCCGGAGCCCGGAGGAAGAGAATTGTCCTCACCCCCGGGAGAAGTGGATAAATCTGCCGCCGGTTCGATATCCTGGCCTTCATCATTTTGGCCCTCAGCATCATCCTTCCGGTTCCTCTTCAGTTCCGGAGAACTCAGAACCGGAACAAGAAGAATCAGTAGCATCAGGCTTGGCCGGAAGACCTCTTTTTGCAGCTAACTCCAGCTCAAGAGCCTTAGATGTTTCGGTATCAAAGTCAATGACACCCGCTTTGGCCTCTTCCAAGATTTTTCTCCTCATGCTATATATAGAATGTGTTTTCTGAACAATGAGGGAAGTCGCTCGGCGCTGAAGCTCTCCTTTAAGTTGGTCGACCTCGGCAGAAAGTTTCTCCCACGCAAACCTCACAGACCAGAGGCTAACATCGAGCCAACTAAATTGATTTAGATGGTAATGAAATTCAAGAAAAAGAAGAAATCTATATGTCAAAAAGTTTTTTAAAAAATTCCACATAAATAAATATTAATTTTGATTAAGGCCTCTTAATAAAATTTTCTTTAAGCTACAAATATCATTGAGTTCTAGTCAGGAGCGGAGCTGACCTTTGAGTTACGCGTTTGGCAAAACCTAGTAATTTTGGTCTAAAGCTTGTATTTTTCTTAAGAAATTCATTGAATAAATATAAATTATTAATTTAGGTCTGGTAATTTAAAAGGACCAGAATCCCAAACTCATGAGCTTCCAATCCTTGTAGCGATTTTTTTTGTTTTTATTACCAATTTAATTGCTTAAAAGACAACTACCATATTAGATTAAACTGTATTAATACTCATATTGATTTCCTGGCGAAGAAGAGAAAAGTTCGACTAGTTAAAAGAGTCTGGTTAAGTAAAATCCTAGTAGAAAAGGCATAGTAATCACATTCAGGTTTATGTCTCAAAGTTGTTTGTGTATGTTTCAAATCGCTGTATCACTAGTTTGAATTCAATGATCTGATATACTTTGCTAATAACCCAGTTAGATCTTCATTCTTCTCTCGTGTGTTGCCCATTTAAATGGTTATAACATGTTCGGTTGGCGTTGCTTAGCCTGAAACATGTCTTGGAAACTTTACCAACGAAACACAATGTAGCTAGTTGGTCTTTCATAACTAGGTCATCTAATAAGGTTAATGTATAAGTTATGAGTTCATAGCTCATAATATTCAAATTATGGATCGACCTCTCCCTACTTATGTCACAGCCCATTACTACCGTCACATTTCCGGCGTTGACAGCTATATATGCAATTTGGTTAATGGCAAATATTTAAGAAGAAGTAGTACGCTGTACGTGGTCCCTGACCACCACATCAAAAATCCTTGCAATGTGCAGTAGCGATTATGTTCTCATATAACCTATTCACTGTTGCTCGTATTCAATGCTATGCAAGTGCATGGTGCCCAAGTAGGAAACAAAGGTCAATTACCCACTCAAACCACTCTCCCCCACTACTATCTTACCTGCAACATTCATATAAACATTATGCAAAATAAAATATAAAATTATGACTCTAAATTCTGAAATTTTAAATCGTCCTTGCTCTTATATATACGTAGTGGTGGCAAAATGGATATAAAAAATTAAATATTCATCCATATTATCCACTAAAAAATGGATTAGCTAATTAATGAACTTTTTAAAAACGGGTCAAATATGGATATGAACTATATTATCCACTTCAGTGGCGAAGCCAAAAAATTCGATAAAAGTATGCAAGAGTATTCAAAGTCTATTTTTTATCAATAACAAATAAATTTTACCCCATACATAATATAATTTTTCAGCGAATGGTTTTTAATTGAACACCCTTGACCACATCTGCATAGCTTCGCCCCTGATCCACTTAGAAAATTGATAACCAATGGATAACTAATGAGTTTACCTTTTATATTTGTAAAGATTCAAATTGAGAGTTCTACAAGTTTGGGAGACAAGGAATTCTCCCAAAAATGATCATATTCAAGAAGTCATGAATATCCATATCATCCGCCGGTTAAACCCATTTTTTTATCTGTATTAAATATAGGTCGGATCAGATTATTTATTCGTTTTTTGCATTACCCATTTTCGACCCGTCTATATCCGACCGCCCGTTAGCCTCTGCTATATAATAGGGTAAAATCTTCTATATAATATGTATCTCACTGCTTTCAATTCTATTTAATGTTTAGTAAATTTTTGGTACGTTCTCATAATTAACTTCTCTTGCTGCTTTCCTTCATATTGAATTCTTAGGGCTAGCTAGCTACTTGTCGTTGCGCCTCCTGCTTTGTTGTTTTCGGATCGGACAAGCTCATTTGCAAGCACGTGCTTTTTCACTAGTAATTAATTATTTTAATCTAATATAGGAAGAAAGTTACATTACGTATTAGCACCCGCTCGCATGAACAATTTTCACCGGTAAAAGATAAATTCCACGATACAGATTTCAAGAAAACAGTTTTCTTTCTGCTTTGATGTATGATTCATTTATAACTGTTCTGAAAAGAGGGGTATATGATAATAAATTGGTAGTAGCTGAGAAAATAAATACTAGTAATTATACAGCTTTTTCGGACACAGTAGTAAATATCTACCCTACAAATTAGTAAATGCAAATGGTATATTGTAGAATCATTTGACCAACTACCAATTAACACGCGTAGGGAAGAAAAGAAAGATCGAAAAAGAAAAACTACGTACTTCGATATCGATCCAGCAAAAGGAAGAAGAAATATCACATAATTTTTAAGGAATTTTAACAAAGATAAACTTGCTCTCAATTAATTAACAACACCCTAATATTCTTTGTTTGAATATATATAGCTAGCTTTGGAATTGAAGTTGGGTGATCTGTAGTTTGTTACAGCTTCACAATCTTTGGGATGAACACTGGGTACCTATCAATGCAATCTTCCCATGGTCCATCAGTTCCTGTCTTGATTGTCCGGTTACACTTCCAAACAGCACTGTTACACTTGAATCCACTTCCAAATGCTATTTGCCAAACTCTATCACCCTTTCTCATCCTTCCTTTTGCCTCCATGTAACTCATCTCATACCATAGTGATGAAGATGAAGTGTTACCTGTTTGAAACATAACATAATAAATTAATTAAAAAGTCTGTTTTCTAACCGTTAAGCTTTTAAATGAGATGATCCCCACAGTTTAACATAATATTGGACCAAGCAAACTGTCCTAGGTTTCATGGGATTGTTACACAAATAGCCGACCAGATTCAATGTTTATTTTTCTAGACGGTATACATAGATTATATATTGATTTTATATATATTATTCTACATGAATTATACATATATTATATATCCGCCGGCTATTTTTAGTTTAAGAGATTAGGTGAACGGTTATTTGAGAAAATAATCAGAGTCACACGTGAGGAGGCCTGTTGATACATAATATAATAAACAATCGAAAGTGTGTTTTCTCTAACAACTTACCAAATCGGTGCAGAGTCATTCTTGAAGCCTCAACATGTTCATCAGATAATTGGAGATTCTTCTGAAGCTCATCAATAACAGCCCTTCCACCAGCATGTATGCAAAAGTGTTCAAAAGCTTGTTTGAAATCAGGAATATAAGCTTTCCATTTAGGGTTAAAGATTTTCCTCCCAATAAGAGTAAAGAGGAAAAGAAGCTGCTCTGAGGCAGGAAGAACCAAAGGACCAATTGTAGTAATATTGGATTTCAAAGCTTCCCCTGCTATAACCATAAGATCTTTAGAAAGATTAATACCAACTTTTCCTTGTGGATCCTCTTGTTCAAACACACATCTATAAGCTTTATCATCAGCACCTTTATGTGTTCTAACCACATGCATTAATCTGTACTTAGCTCTACTGCTGTCTTTTCTCTTGTTTGACAAAAGTATAGCAGCACCACCCATTCTAAACAAACAATTAGGCAAAAGCATTGCTCTTTCTGAACCTTGATAATAATTAGGTGTAATGATTTCAGTACTTACAACTAAAGCAGATGAATTTGGAAGCACTTGTAGAAGGTCTCTAGCCAAATCAATAGAGATCAAACCAGCACTACACCCCATACCAGAAAGGTTGTAACTTTTTATGTTACTTCTCAACTTGTATTTGTTCACAACCATAGCTGATAAAGATGGAGTTGGAGAAAACAAGCTGCAGTTAACGATAAGAATATCGATATCTTTAGGTTTTAGACCTGTTTTCTTCATTAAGTTGTCAATAGCTGAGAATATGACAACTTCAGCTTCAGTTCTAGCAGATTCCATTGTTGGTGTTGGAGGGATGTAATGACAAGCAGGAGGCAAACAGGTTTCTTCACCAAGTCCTGACCTTTCAAGAATTCTCATTTGGAACTTCACACTTTCAGGATTATCTTTCAAGATTAGACGTGAATGTTCCATAAAAGTTGAAAATGGTACTCTACATGTGACAGGAGCTTTGTAACATGAATAATCTACTAAGTAAATGGATCTTGGTTTTGACATGAAGTACACTGTGGCTACAAAAATGATGAGGAAAGAAGAGCATAGGATTTGGATGAGATCAAAGTGGAGTGAATTCCAAATACTTAGTATTTCTTCAGGGCCTAATTTAATTAACTGTAGAGTGACACCAGCCATAATAGGCACAAGCAAGAAAGTTAGAAAATTATTGACAAGGTATTGGTACCCAAGTTTGACATACTTGAGCTTCACAGAATTGGACAAATTTGGGACTGTTTCTGGCATTTTGACAAGAAGAAGAAAAAAAAATTAAGAAGAGAAAGTTTGAGGGAGATGAAATTAGATTGTAGTAGCTAGGTCAATAGAAGAGGAAAATGACGAGAATTTAAAGACTAAAATGAAGGGTGGTGAGACCAAAATGAGAGGGCAAAGAAATTAAATGAAAGGAGGGCAGATGAGAGGATTAAATGAACAACTTTCACGTCACACAACTTCCTCTTAGCTGGAGGTTTTTCTTTTGTCCCTGTGATCATTTATATTTCAATCAGTCTCTTGTTTTTAAAATTTATATTTGTCAATTTCTTAGTATCTTGTTAAGATTATAATACGCTTAATTTTATTAAAAAAATGATATACAAGGACCAAAAGGTTTACTCTATATATCTTGTGTAATTAATCAAACATAATTAATTAAAGAAAGGTTTATGTTTCAAGTTTCAAACTACTAGCTACTAGAGAATTCTGATATCATCTTTAAGAATGATATATCAACTTATAGTACTGAAAGAATAAATAATTACCATTGGATATGATTATGTGTGTCATGAACTTTACACATTACGTTTGATTTTTGGAGTAGAATAATTATTTTTGTTAGTTTGAGATGAAATAAATTCCTTATTACTCTCTCCGATCGCATACCTGTCATTTTATCAAAACTAAATTTATTTCAAAATATTTGATGTTTTTTGAAAAAATAAGAAGTCATTTATTAAATTTTTTTTCCTCCCAAGTCTATCCTTGTTGTTCAAATTAGTGTAATGTTAATTAATTACTTAAGTTGTTTAATGAGATAAAGCATAATTTAAACAAATATTCTAATGATTAAAATTTGTCTATTTTTAATGGAAAGATATGGCTTCAGGCAGAAGGAATGAACCACAATCATAATTCATAGGTATATTGTTCATCAATTTCAAGGTTAGATGCTCCAACTTCAACGTTCTGTTCTTTCTTCTTTCTTCTTTCCTCTTTCTTCTTTCTTCTTCTTTCTTTTTTTTTTTTATTTTGTATTTTTTTAAAATAAAATACTCTTCTATTGTGGACTAGACAAAACATCAAAAAAATATAAGTATGAATATATAGGTGCTTTCCACATTTGCCACAGAGAGAAGTGACCTTAACAATATAAAATGAAGTAAAATAAAAAAATAAAAAAAAAATAAATTCCTGGCCCATGGCATTAACTCTCTAATCATCAACTCTTTCAATAACTTGAGAATTTCCAGAATTCCAGACATGCATTACCATATATGATCTGGTATGTTTTTTTCACCTTCTTTAGTATTCTTTTTTTTTTTTCTCACTCTTTTTTGGGACCAGTCTTTTATTTCCTGTGGGGGGTTGTTCTTGATTTTCAGAAAAAAAGGACTGAGGAAAATAATTAATGTATTGATATTCAGTATTTTGGAGGATATAACGCCCAGTTATTTTCCTATATTCAAGAATGATATTAAAAAGTTTTTGCACTCCCCTCCCCCAAGTATTATTAAATTGCACTTTATCAGATAAGTTTTGATGTTGACACTTTACCCTTAATTGCAATTAAGGTATTAGACTGAAGCAAAAATGAAGACAGTTGGGGTAGTTGTAAGTTGGGGTCGTGACCATTACCTTCTCCTGTCAATATTAAATTTCAGACCCCATTCTTCTGTACAGCTAACCAACAATCTATTGAGCTAACAATATCGACCTTTTTGGGCAAAATGCAATGATATGTTACAATTTATTTTTGAGCCTCTCCTGCTAATACAGGCTTTTTATTAGGGATAATGATCTACACATATGGAAATTTTACATTGATTTACATAGATGGCCAAGAAATCAAAGTATTATGTATATCTTGGTGAGATATATTAATTATATTGTAGCTTTTTCTTGTGAACTTGGATTACTATTGCTAATCTATTTTTGGTTATTTGGTAAAAGAAGTCAAGAAATAGCTAACAAAAAGATAAATAAATTAAGTACCTCAATAGCTTGATGATTGCCTCCAATAATGAAATGTACTAAAAAAGCCCCATTTGAGTTATTTGGTCAAAGAATCACTCCTGATTACTTATAGACTATATATTTATGAAAACAAAAATCCAAATTACAACATACTACTGGCACTATGTCGTCGGTTTTGCTCCCCTTTTGTGTGTGTGTGTGTG